TCGCGTAACTGAATGCTTTAAATCCTATAAATGTATTCCCTCCCTTAGCTACTATTAACTATGATTAAGATAATACATAAAGTACTATATTTGATGTTATTATACATAATTATTATATACGGTTTCATCATGTGAAGTATTCGAGCTCTACTTGTTTCAAGTTATGCCGGGACTCATATACAGAGAACCGTAAGGGTTATCGGACTCTCTGTAGGAGTAACAACGGGGTGGGGTTTAGTCAGTAAGAGTCAGACACTCTCTCGCCTCAATCAGGGCGGGAGAAGTCATGGGAAGACCCCCCCCCCCCTCAAAACTGGGACTCGTGTATCATGATCAAAATGATTGTTAGAAATGCGTAGAGCTTTCTCTATTGATTGATGTAAGTAAGACATATTTTACAATTATATTAGGATAGTTTGTATACAAAAATGTATACAAACAAGGTTGTTCTTGTTGAAATACTCGAATGAGGACTGCTTATATGGAATTGAAGTTAGAAGTTTCGATTACTGAAATCTCTTTCACTTATGACTTTAGTGAGATGTTTAAAAGATATAAATAAATAATCTTAAAGGAAAACATATTGTATTCTGAATTGATTATTATGTTTTCGCCTTACTCACGTAACTGTTTGACGAGGAACTCGACTAGTTTCAAGCCATGCTAGAGGCTCATATTCATGAGCAGCTGCTAGACCCTAGACAGAGGTGGTCGAGTTCCTTGTGGTGGTCTAGTTACGTGAGTAAGCCGAAAACATAATAATTAATTTAGTATGTCTCACGGAAGTTTTAATATAAACATATTGTATTCTCTTTGGAACAATATCTCTTTAAATTAAAACATTGTATACGTATATATTTTATTAGTAGAATGAAGATTTTAAAAGGATAGGGTACCGGCGTCTGTCAAGCCTCTACAACTGAGATAAACAGTGAGAGTAGTATTTAATGTTATATATGTGTTATATAGTTAAATACCATGTTATATATAATATACCATATAATATAAGATTCTCTAAAATACCTTTTTAATATTACTTAAAAAAAAAAACAAAAAAAAAAATTTAATAATATAAGAATGTAACCGACCAGTAGCGGGAGCATGGTCCAAGCTACCGGTGGTTAGGGCTCCAGAGACAGAAATCTCCTCACGATACGTGCAGTTTCTAGGAGAACTGCCTTCTGTATCAGGGCGTTTATCCATCCACCTAACGCCAGCCTCCTAAGATGGATGGCGAGGCTTTTAGGGATTAATCCATTGGCCGACACGACTATCGGCACAATGATAGCCGAATCCACCACATGTCGACAACCTCGTGAGCCAAGTCTAGATATTTTATTTCTTTATATTTCGCAGCTTTCACGAAGTTCTCGTCATGGGGTATGGTAATATATAGTTAATAAATTATTAATATTATAAATTTTAATGTTGTGTGTCATATTTGTGGTAGTAAGTAAAGTGGATGTACTTAATATATGATATATGTTGTAGATTTTTGAGATGAAGATAGTAATATATTAAAATATCAATGTTTTTCTTGATAGTTTTATTGTAGTAGTCAACTTAAATATGTTTAAGAAGTAATTTGTAACATTTTATATATAGGGTGTAGACAGAATGCTCTCGAAAAACGCTGACAATAGAAATGGTTTACAATACGGTACGGACAACGAGTCAAATTCAATACGTTTTTCAAACTGTCAAAAACGACAGTCTTCTATTAATTTTGTACGAGATTGCGTATTGTGACGTCACGGTTTCTTCGCGTCAAATAGCGTAGTTATTTTCTTAAAAAAATGTTAAAATTAAGTTGGTCATAAAGCCAATTAATAAAAGTGTGATTATTTTTTAATACTTTATTGTATTAAACAGTCGAAATAATTTATTTTTGATTAAGGAAAGTGCTCAATTTTAATATTATTATTCATGTTATTCGTGCAACATCAACCTTGTGCAGTTGATTACAAACATTAATTTACAATAGAACCATTTAATTCCTTACTTTATGAAAATAGAACTTGGTTTTGACCATCACTTGTCAACGTTTTTCGAGTGCGTTCCGTTTACACCGTATATTATGTGTAAGCGACATATTATATGAATGTTGTATACGAGTACTCTTATAATGTTAAATATGCTTATATTATACAAACTGTCCCTGAAGTCGACGACCAAATGACCATCGGCAAGGTTCAAACAGCTATCAGAAAATTCCAAGTCATATCACTACATAGTATAAAACAAAGTCGCTATCCGCCGTCTGTCTGTCCCTATGTATGCTTAGATCTTTAAAACTACGCAACGGATTTTGATGCGGTTTTTTTTTAATAGATAGTGATTCTTAAATAAGATTTATATGTATAATACGTGCACATTGCATCCGTGCGAAGCCGGGGCGGGTCACTAGTACTTTTTAAATTGCTATGACTTATGTGTTCTTTTCTTTATTTTTTCGTCTCTATTTTTGCTTACGTTATCCTGAATAGCGCATTAGTATTATGGAATCATAAATTCTGAGCCAACTGCCTTAATTTGGAAAAGAATAATATATTTGACAGTATTGCTCATATTTTCATATCTATGTTAGATATGATTATGTATGTAGGACTATTCAAGTTGATATAGAAAAAACCCCATAATAAAATAAATAAATTAAGATAGCTTGTCAGTATATTTTGTCTTTTATATAAAATAAAATAATAATATGATTATGGTAGATGTGATGTGTTGTATTTGTGTCGGTTTACGTGTTGTAGTAGTTGCAATGGAAAGTATATCTACATGATATATGTAATTATTAATACTGTATGTCTGTAACAATACTGAATATCTACATAGACCACGCACACACATGTGAAGTCTCAGTCTCTCAGTATCTGTATCTTGTAGTCTCTATGTGAATGTTGTAATAAATGTAATGTTGTACAAGTGTTTGTTTTCAACCATACGAATTTCACTTCAATCGAAATGAATATTTCAGGGCGCGTTCACAAAACTGCGATGCGACGTCACATCGCAGAAATGTGCAAGCTCCCTCTACGCATCGCAATAACTTGCGAATAGATTCGCATCGCGCATCAAAATCTTATCTTCCTAAAATCTTCATTCTTTCTTTTCCTGTTTCTCATAAGCAATAACAGAAGTGCACTTTTTACGATCCATGTAACGACCTAGTTTTCAATTTAAAATACGTTTAGTACGGTTGACGGTCGTCGAAGGAATGGTCGCCATGGGAGACGCCTTGTCGCACGAAATCGCATCGCAGCAATTCGCATCGTAATTTTTTGCGTTGCGAATTCGCAGTTTTGTGTACGAGCCCTTAATCAATAGATAGATTAAGTATCAATATATATATTAAAATTATATTTGTGCACTCTCATCTCTATCGCGTTATAATAATTATAAATTGGTGTAAAAGCGGCTATCAACATCATTTTTTGTCAGGTAAGATATTATTATTAGAGCAAATATACATTATGCCCGAATACTGAAACCTACTCAATTTGAAGTCGCGCTTATAGGTATAGTTCTATCTCTACAAATTCGTTGTAAAATGACAGAGACTGCACGATATTTGAGTACAACTTAATATTGAGTAGCTTTTCAGAATTCGGACGTTACTTATATCAGAAATCGCACCGCGAACTATGCTATTGCAACCTATGTCTTTTGTTTTGTTTTTATTCTATTTGTTAGTTTTCTCCCTGTAATTTATTTTATTCCTTTGTACATTTGCTGTATTGTTTTATTTATAAACTTATTAGTCCTTTATAAAAGTAAATTCTGAAATCAAGTTGTATCTAACTCGTGGCGTCACTATCTCCTGCGCTCTATACTAATCTCCTACTAGTGTGAGAGAGACAGTAAGGGCTCCTGTTATGCTCGAAAATGCTCAGAGAGCCCCGTATTTTTTTACCAGTGAAAAGTAAAAGTAATGTTGTTTAAAAATTTGGAAATTTAACCTCCATACTGTTTTTCGACTTACTGACGTCACTGTCTAACGAGGACTAGTTTCAAGCCATGCTAGAGGCTCGCAGTGGCGGCTGGTGGGTTATCGAACTGGTGGTGCAGTTTACTAAAATATTAAAGTTAGAAAATGCAACAAAACAAAAATTGACATAATATATGTTTATTTTTTATTGTTTTAAATTTAAAAAGGGCCGTGGCGGTCCGGCCAATTTTATGTTCACTTTATTTTGAAAAGTTCTGTTATTTTCTTTAATATAATCAATGTTTATGCTAATTTTCACTAATACCTACACAGTATAGAATAAAAGTTCTCGAAAAAAATCGAAACGAAAACTAAAAACAATTATTTACGGTAATATAAACAATTATTAGCGCGTCACACATACAGTGAAACTATACTGATAGTCTAATAACGAGATGTCAATCATCCAATGGCTGCCGTCGCCTCGCGCGCGCCCATGCCGGCCAATTCGTCAAAAATCGGGTGCTCTCGGCAATCCTCGGTTCGCATCGCACGTGCGGCGCTCGACAACCGACTCATTACTCGGTACGTTTCTATGAACTATCTTTTGTTTCACGCGTCAGGCGTATTAACTCGTATCACCTACAAGTTGTATTAGCAGCCCTCGTGCACTCGCCGAAGCGCACGAGAATTTGTCTTTACAGGAAAATAAGTCTTAATAGTTTAGTAAAGCGCTCAAACTGTTTCACTATAATTGGAGATTTAATTTTTTATACGTTTTTGTTTTTATATATTTAAAAATAAATATTAAAATGGTAATAAAAATAAAAATGAAGTAGGTACTTAATATTTTGTCATTTTTAAATCTTTTGGATTGGTGGTTCAGCGCACGAGCGCACTTAAGGTACAGCCGCCACTGGAGGCTCGTATATATGAGCAGCATTCCGCGACCCGCGACGCGGCGACTGTCGCGCTGCTACTCCGCGAGTAAGCCGAAAACGTAATAATTAATTTAGTATGTCTCACGGAAGTTTTAATATGAACTGATATATTTATATCAAATTTTCAGGGTGCGACACTCCTGAAACTAGTCGAGCGACTAACATACCACATATACGCTGATCTCAACCTGGTGAGGACATTCCTCACGACGTACCGCTCCTTCTGTTCCCCCGGGGAACTGCTGGAGCTGCTCATCGAGAGGTTCAAGATACCGGAGCCTAGCGAGGTGTACGATACGCCTAGAACTAGTGAGTGGAGATTTTAGTGTCTTAGATTAAATTACTTGCGAGTGAGTGAGTGACAGAGAGGGAGAAGAAAATGGAAAGAGAAGGTGTGTGTGAGTGAATGTGAGTGCACGGTTGTCGCGCTGGCACCCGGGTGGGGTCGATGCCCGCACGGAGCAAGTGTTCGTGTGATCCACAGATCGTTGTTCCGGGTCTGGGTGTCTTGTGTTTGTAAACGCGACGCAGGAGAAACACCCAGTGTCGTTAACGGTTTAAAAATATATATGTGATAACATCATA